TACTGACAACCTTGAACTATTGATTAGGTATATTATGGATACTTTTTTCCAAGAACTGCGCTGGCTGCGTTTCAAAAAAGGCAAAGAGTTTGATGTTTTGAACCTCAGTTTAGTGAGCTATTTCTCGCTTGGAAAAAGACCAAGATAGCGGCACAAGTGTAAACAAATGTCGTTTCAGTCAACCATAACGACGAATATAAACGGTTTTTTGAAATCGACCTTATGCATGTTCTGCGCGTCAGTAACCTGAGAAATGTGCCTTTTCGCAGACCTCAGCACAATGGATTATTTTCCTTTCATGGATGTTTCTTCCCAGTTTATGGTTATTTTCTCATGAATAGCGCATTCAGAAGATGGGGCCATCGCACACCCAGGACATACCACAAACAACCCCTTGCATTCGCCTCCATTTTTGGTAATCACAGAAGGAGTGGCAAAACTTTCTCTACAGCCTAACACATTAAAAAATTGAACCTAATCTGTTCTGTACGACATCATCCTGTTCCCGTCCCATTTCCATTTGCCAGTTCCCTCCCCACTATGTTTTCATCATCAGCATCCTCACTTACCCTCCTGTTCCAACTCTCAGCTCCTCAGGGCATACTTTGCATTTCCAGATCGAAGTTACTTTCGTTATCATAATGCTCATTCACCCTCTGTGCCATTTCACAGCCCGCTCAAAGTGCGCAAAACCGATAAAGTCGATAAAGGCAATAGTTGATTATGAAAGATTTTTGTATTTTCAATGGGCATGCTTTGAATCTTTCGTGTTTTGGTCCTATTTTGTTTCTTGACTTCCAGCTTCGAAATTGAGCAATTATGTATTCTACTGTGTTCGCAATAAAATGGCGAAGTGCGAAGCTCGCAAGATTCCTTTGGCGGCGATTATTTTAAGTAAAGTACTAACTTCGGTTTCGACTGGAAGATCACAATGTTCAAAAATCTGGCAGATATTTTGGAGCTTTGCTTTATTGAACTATGAACTTCGTAGAGTTGCAATATTTACACTCCTCCCAGGTCGCATAAAGGATGCTTATTATTGCACCCACCTACTTCTCAGTAAGCTTTTCTTTATAAATGCCTCGCTAAATCTCACATCCTAAGTTTTTCCCAAGACGGATTTATCGGGCATGAACAAAAGATAATATAAACACTGCGCGCACTTTCTGGAGTAAGTACTAAAGCTGCAAACTTTTTGCAGGTAATTTTTCTGATCGTGACATCAAATTTTTGACGTAACATCAATCGTTTAGTACGACTTTTTCAGTCGAGAATTAAATAAAACTGATATATAAGAAACATTTATTTTGACATATAACTGATCAATCTGAGTCACAGCACACTCTTATCACGACCTATTATCGAACCATAAAGGTCACAAAGTCTGTGTAATAGAAAGAATGCCTTCGAAGAAAAGGGCTTGAAACAGTCAACATTGTTGGAAAACAAACGACGACTGGTAACCGCAGGCAGCTGCTGGATAATAGAAAATTCTGTTCACCAGAATCTTGAATATATACATAAACCCAGACAAGATAGATGTAAATCTTCAACGAAGGCATACGGTCAAAGCACTAAGCTTCTCCACATCAACACATGATTTCAAAAAAAGAGAATACAATCATTTTGGCAATTCGCAAAAGATCAGCTCAACGGTTTACCCTTAATCCGTTTATTGCAAAGTAGAGTATTAAGTCAGTATTCAAGCAACAGAATGCCTTACAGCATCATGAGAATGTTTAGGCGTAAAAGCATTTGTAGTCAACACCGTAGAGAGTTCGCTGTCTTTCCGTACAGGGAAGTTTCGAGTGTAGTTGTAGCACAGCTTGATGACCATCAACAGTATACCAGCACACGTTACACACAATCCTATGAAGACCACTCCATCCCTAAACAATGGAATCTGGAGGGCAACGACAATATTTTTCCTTATTGAGTTGCATAGAGAACTCTGCATAAAAGTGTTTGCAGTGAATGAAGATCTATTTATCGGTTCTGGCAGATCAGAACCTCAATGCTTTAATCTATGTCTTAGAGGTGAATAAAGTTGACCCAGGTTAGTGGCTTCCTAATGTTTTCGAGAGGCCTTCTTCAGAAACTTCCCCCACCGTTGGCGCGCGGATGTTAGTTGGTAATTACAGTGGTATCGAAGGACGGCCGCCTTAACGTCCGACGGAGGAGGAAACGTCTGAAGAAGATGACTTGTATGAAAAGTTAAGCCGCCACTGATAAAGATCTACTGGCTTCGATCGGCTTACTCACTAGTACCACATTATACAAACAATGTCGAGGTTCAAAAAAAGAAAACTTGGAAATTGCTTTCGTCTATTTTGAAATTCAGGCTCGAGCGTGGAGTGTGATTGCGTTGGACACGAGGAGACAGGCTGAAAAAGAAAGGGTGGCGCCAATCTTTAAAGCAATCTTTTGTGAAGTTCTTTTGAAACTGATTAATTTGCAATAATAAAGTTGTTCCTGGAAAATAGTTCATTTATCGTGAAACGGACTTTACTGCTGACTTTGCGCTCACGGAAGCATAGAACGCTCATACAAGAAGGCATCACCTCAACGTTTCAGCTCAGTCACTTTCAGTTATCAAAACGTTATCACACTTGAGCAAAAAACAATTCGAAAAGAGATGAAAACCAAG